AATGGACGTTCAGAGCATTTTCTGCCGAAACTAAACTGTGTTGCTTTCTACCTTTGCATCGTGGGGTGCCCCTGCGGCTGAGGGTCCGGGTTCATAAAACCCCGGGCTCGGTGCGTGGTCGTGCCCGGGTACCGAGGGCTGCAGGTGTGCGTGTCCCCGCCTGCGTTCGGGGCACCTCTTCCATGGCGCTCTGCAGTGCTCTGGGAAGTAATCTCAGTAATCCTGGGCCATCTGGGCGCCTCCTCGATAATCTACTTAATCCGCTTTTAACTCTTGCAGAACCTGCGAGTGGTTGGCAGAAGAACTGAAAGCCCAGCTTTATCCAAACATTGCTCGGGTGCCTTTGTCAAATATACATTAATAGGGCTGACTTGTAGAGTTGTGCAGTTACGTGTGAGCCCAAATCAACTGATTGGATTTAAATTTCCTTTTTTTTCTTTCTAGTGAAATTTTGTGGACATTTAAATGTATTTTGCGCATCACGGGTCCACAGCTGCCTATCTGACCTTAGTGGTGTTCTTTTTCTACACCCTTTGCCCCTCACCCGAGAGAGAAGAATATTCTTGGGCATTTTACATCTCCATCAGGATGAGATCCAGTCAGCTCTTTTAGAGAATTGTGGTGGAAGGAGTCAGTGGAGAGAGAGCCCCAGACCCTTAAGTTGCTCTGCGGTTCTTCAGCTTCCCCTCACTTGGAAGCATCTGATCTTTCTGTTCTCCTGATGCAAGAGGTTTACAAAGTCTGTAAATGCTGATGCTGTCAGTAACTTCAGAGGGTGGATTCTGCTGATATTAATTTCTATTTAGCAGAAGATGTTTTGGGTAAAGAAAATGTTTAATTCAAGAAAAGCGAGCATTTTGAGGATAGCTGTAATCGCTTTATCAGTGTGTCAGCATCTAACTTTCGGTGTTGTCCATACAAACAGGATGCTGTTGACTTCTGTGAAGATGACTGATGTGGTCATTGGACAGGTGAAAAGATGACAGACATGAAGACCTTTCTTTTGATGTGTTATTTCTTAGCCTGGAAGTGACGTTTGTGAAATTGTAGCACTAACTGCGCTAAGGATTTGTATGTTCTGTCTCACTACTTAGAAAGTATGTTTTCTGTGTTGGAGAGTAACCTTTTTTATTAAACAGCAAACGTGATTACTTTTTCTTTAAACTTTTTTCCTTGCATGTGTATGTTATTTAAACGTGCTGGGTTTCTACAAAAGTTTTTTTTGAGATTGTTTTTGACAATTTGAATTAATATAATGTGAAATTTCTTCTTCCAGGTTTTGGTAGAAGCTTGTCTCTGACAGACTGGAAAGGAATAAAGGTCAGAACGTTTTAATTTGATTAATTACATTGATCATTTTTCAGCTCAAATAAATAGTTGTTAAAATAGTGCAAATAATAGTGGAAATTTAGATTTCGGTCACTGGGAAATCAGCCTCATGGAACCGTCTGAGTGAGGCTGAGGCTGATAAGACACCTGAATCACGATTACAAAATTCATTCTCCGTGAGTGAGAACACAGATAACGTGTTTCTGCACTAGTGAGCCTCAAAGCAGTTCTGTTCGTGCAGGTATTTAACTTAAGTGAGTTTCAAATTGTGACTAAGAATTAACTCAGGGGACTGACTGCAGTGTAGGCTGTTTGATAGTGGGCTGTAAACTGTTCTTAGGTGACTAAAGAAGTGCTCTGAGGAAGTAAAGGACTACCATTTTGCATTTAAAGTGTTATCTCGCACTACATACTTGAATGAGAGATACATTCTCTATTTTGTTAATTTATTTTTTAGAACATAATGACTACTTTGGATGATAAACTGCTTGGTGAGAAGCTCCAGTATTATTACAGCAGTAGTGAGGGTGAGGATGAAGACAGCGAGAAAGAAGATAAAGAAGGGGAGAGCACCATTCCTGAAAGCGTTGGGGAAGTAGACCTTAGCAGTGATGGCAGTGCAGTCAACACAGGTATCGTCATATCAAACTAATTGCTTTGTAACTACTTTGCTTACTGGAAGATTCATATGTTTTTCTAAAATTCATTTTTCGAAAAGTCCTGGTTTTGTGCATATTTGAGTCAGAGATTGATCATTTCCTGGCTATAGTCTAACCTTATTTCTAATAGCTGTTCTTTAATGTTTGACTTCTCTTCTGAGAGATTCCAGTATTATATCTAAAGCAGTTAGGCTTTGCATACAAAGCCGATTTATACAATTTGGTTGACAAGGCATAAATTTCTTTCCTGTAAGCCACACGGTTGTTAACCGCTAACAGGTAGGTGCCGAACGAGTACCTGAGGAATAGACAGAAAGCGGCTAGGCTTTCCCAAACTAGTGTTCTCTGCTGCCACTGTCAGAGATACAATACGAGTCTGTGTGGATCGTTGACGTGATCCAGAGGATGTTGGTTATGTTCTTATGAAAGGTTGGCCCTCTGTGTTTTACGGTTTCTCTAAGAATGATGAAAACTCTTCTTCCTGCATGTGTTTACATCTTTCACCTGAAGGAAGAATGGAAGAATTACAGTACTAAACTGGCATACTTAGAGAGGACCTGAAAAAGTAACTCCGCTAGGCCCCAGCAGCAAGGTAACAGCAAAGTGCAGTCTGTAAGTTTTAACACTATTCCGCATCACAGAGTGTACTTCTGTACAAGAGCGTTGGCAAACTTAATGATACTTTACCATCGTTATTTTTGTTCTTATGAAAAGCCGTGCTAACAATAGGGGAATTCTTGAGGGCTGGTGGTTCTATTTCAAGAGCACAGATATTAATCTTTGGAATAACCTTTGGGACAATTGTGAGAGTAGCCTAGTTAGATAAATTTTAGTCTTCGTAGAAAAAAAAATAAAATATAGTAGATACAAGCTCAAGGACGTGTAAATGGGAAATTACTTCTTTTGTTTCATTTCAACATTTTGCACAGTATACAGAAAGTTCATTTTACTGCCGACTTACAAATTATTACTTGAATTTTAAACGATAGATGTAATTTTATTACCCTTTTATACAAAATGCCTGCATATTTAATTGCAGGTCCCAAAGGAGTCATTAATGACTGGCGAAGATTTAAACAACTGGAAACTGAACAGCGGCAGGAGCAGCGTAGAGAAATGGAACGACTCATTAAAAAGTTATCTATGTCGTGTAGATCTCACTTAGATGAAGAGACTGACAAGCAGAAGCAGAAAGAGCTTCAGGAAAAAATCAATGGAAAGGTAGCATGGCACAAAGGAATTAAAATGCCACTTAAATCTTTAACATTTTCAGTTTTGACATTTGTGGACGTGAAGCAGATAGGAATCCTTGTTCTATCAGTAGATACGTATTGTTTCTCCCTAGTAAACAGGAATGCAGCAGCAGTATAAGAGGTGCATCATAACTGTATTTGCCAGGTGTCAAGTTTAATTATTTTGCATTGTATGGTATTCCAGGAGCATTGCGTTTGCCTGTGTTAAGAAAAAAGCAGTTTAGCTGCTATACCGAGGAAGTCCAGATCTTTGTCCCAGATTTCCCTTACCTGTTTATCAAATAAGTCAACTTCAGGGGATTAATACGAAGAATTGTACAGCAAACCTATGAATACTGCCTCCCATGCCTAAAACAAGAATTTAGGAGTCCTTATTGATTTTGTATTTAGTAAGTGGATGTTGAGAATTTAGGTTTGACTTTGAACTCCAGAGGCAGAAAGTGTGGGAAGTAGTGAATGGTTTTAATCAACTGGGCTGTATAACTAGCTCTTACAGTTCTAGTCGGAGAAGTTACTAATTAGCAGACAGTATTTCTTGCTCTCAGATGATGAAAGCTGGCCACACTGTCGTATACCTTGCATGATGCAAATATGTTTAACAAAGCAAGTGAACAGATACGCAGTAGATAAAATCCTGTTAATTTTAGTTCTACAGACAAGATAGTGCATTTGGTAGCCATAAAATGTTAATTGAAAAACTAAATGGAAAGGCTAATGAAGAAGCAGCTAGACTTAGGTCGGGCACGCTATCCAAATCAGTGCTCATAGCTTTGTGAGAGCACATAGCCACCATTAACCTGAATTAAAGTGGGAGCATGGAGCAGCCACTTGTGTTATTAGTGCAGCTTAGGGAAACTAGAATACCCAAGGCTGAAATCGCTGTTCCCACTGGACATGGTTTCTAATTAGATCAAAATGGAGTGTAATACAGAGGGTGCTTGAGCCTTCATGGGTTGCACTTTGCTGTTATTAAAGATGAGTGACCCACATTAGCCCTCTTGGTTTAAATTCTCATTATATAAGTGACCCATATAGTGATGCACATCTTTGTGTATCTTTGTATGTGTTTTTTAGATGACATTACAAGAATATAACATGATTCACAATGATGAAGATGATGAGGAGTTTTTACAGCGATACAGGAAGCAGCGAATGGAGGAGATGAGACAGCAGTTGTACAGTGGGCAGCAATTTAAACAAGTTTTTGAGATTACCAGTGGAGAAGCGTTTTTGGACACAGTTGATAAAGAGCATAAGAGCACACTGATCATGATCCATATTTATGAAGATGATATCCCTGGCACCGAATCCCTGAACGGCTGTATGATCTGCCTGGCTGCTGAGTATCCAACAGTTAAATTTTGCAGAGTAAAGAGTTCGCTCATTGGTGCTAGCACTCGCTTTACTAATAATGCTCTGCCAGCTTTGCTGATCTATAAGGCAGGTGAGCTCATCGGCAATTTTGTACGAATCACTGACCAGCTTGGAGAAGATTTTTTTGCTGTAGACCTGGAGGCTTTTCTGCAGGAATGTGGTTTGCTTCCAGAAAAAGACCTAGTCCTCCTGACTTCTATACGTAATCCATCTGCATGTTACAGTGAAGACAGTGATCTGGAAATAGACTGAACCACTTATACCAAGGGCCAGTAGGTGTAGTTGTACTGTGGGATGTTCCTGTGCTAGGGATTGTTCTCTCTGTCCTGTAGTGTGGGTATGTGTTACTCGCCTTCATGCACTTTTGACTTTTGCTTGTTAAAAAATAACATAAGGAATTCATAATATTTTCTTAAATTAATTCAATGAAGTACACACTAAAACAGCCTTGCTTTATGCAATTCAAATATATTTTAGTAAACATGAAGTTCTAACACAATTCAGTAAGTCTAGGAAATTGTGTACTCTCATCTCTGTTCTCCATATCACTTAGATTTTTTTATTTTTTATTTTTAAAAACTTTTTGTTCTCAGATCAGCTGTGTGTGGTCAGTCTCCGTACAGGTTTCCTGAAACAGTGTAATGTGAATACCAGTTGGATTGAGATGTGGCCACCTACTCACTAAGACAAGAATTGAGACTGCAAATAAAGAAGTTTTTAAGCGTTCAAGACTTTTATTAACCTGGAGCTGAACTGCTGCCAGTTAACAGTGCAAGGTCCCATCTTCTGTTCCCCAATTTCCAGTCCCCTTCTTGGAAGTACCCTCTTGTTCTAACACTTGGCAACAAATTTTTGTTCCTTTCTCATTTAAAAATAACAACAGCCCCGACTTCGTCCTGGAAATTGCTTTTCGGCTGGAGAGAGTTCTTCCTTTAACCTTACCTGAGACTTAAATGAGAATCAGAATTCTTTCAGTTACAGCTCTTAATACATTCTTGGGTTTTAAAATACCGACCCTTAGAGTTCATAGTAGTCACTTCATCAGTAAATGATCTCTGCTTCTTATGAGAGAGACTGTATTATAAAGAGCTCCAACGTGTGCTGAATAGCATCAAAGAGAATTTTGCTTGGAAAATGCAGTATTAGGACTTGAATAACCTCAGAATTTCCTATCTCTCTAAAATTACTAGATTAGTGCTAAAGTTCATTTCTGTCTTCCTTCCTATTGTCTGCCTCAGCTGGGTCATCAGATGTATTTTGAATATTAATAACCCCTGGACCTGACAGATGACTGGATGGCTTTGTGGGAAAGCAGCCTTGAGGCAAGAGACAAGGTCACCAATACAGGTGTTCAGCAGCAGGCCCGTTTTTTTCACAGCTGATTCCCTTCTCTGAAGCTCAGTATCTAGTTTCTGCACCATGGATCAAAAACATTGCCCCGGCCTGTTTTTCCTCTGATGGCAGCTCTTTGGGGGCATGGTTTTTGTACCATGCATCAGTGGAGTTCACTAACAGAAAAAAATCTTGTGGGATGGGGGTGAAACCTTTGTGGAGACTGCAATTTTTCCCTTTCTCCTTTGTAAGAAATAACAAATAACAAAGGCCTTCTCAAAAGCATCACCACAGCTGTTTCAGTTGCCCAATAACACTGATCTTAAAGTTCTCATCTTCCCTGAAGACACAGGGTGACTCCCGCTCTGGACACAGAAGAAAAGCCATCCAGCGCTGACTGAGTCCCTTTGTCTCCTTATGAACATTATTGCTACTGAATGCAGCAGCTGTTAGGCTTCCCTCCTGCAGCACCTTTGTCATTACCATTTGTCAATGATTACATTTTCATTAAAGTGTGTTTATCTGTTTTGTTTATGCTCTACTTCCTTCATAAAGCAGATCATAATATGGGGAAGTAATTTTCAGGGTTTCTATTACATTGAAGTTCACGCTGCCTCCAGCAAGTCTGGTAGTAACCCAGATAACCTGGCTAGCATTAGAAACCATTAGCAATTGATAGCAAATGCAAGGACGAAAACCTCGGATGATGCAGAGCCAGGTAAAGGCTTTACTGGCCAGATTACAGTGCGGCTGAATTGCTCGGTGTACCTCGCACATGTGAGCATGTTGAATTCATGCACTCCATACTTGGTTATTATTGAACCGTCTTCTACAGACTTAATTTGATATTGCAACATTTGCTTTCTCATGCATTACTTATTTTGCTTGTTATTTTTTAATTTTGAGGAAAGTAGACTATCATTACCTAAATATATGACCCAATGTAATGCCGTGTTTAATGATTAAATTTAATTGCAAGTTTTGTGTAAGGCACTTCGGAACACTAGGAAGAAATGCATGTGTCTCTGTGTAAGCACTAGGTTCTTAATAAGAATGGATCTTAGATAGAAAAAGAAGAATTTGTAATTGTGTCTACTTGAACTGTGTTTTAAAAAGTAGTATAAACAGAAAACCAAATAATTTGTAATTAAAAATTACTGAATTGGCACAAATTGTAGCTGTTTTAAGGAAACTGGCAGAAATCCAGATTTTAAAATGTGGTAAGAGATTATTTCTTTTCATCTCAGAATCTCAGAAAAAAAACCATGAAAGTTATATGAAATTAAATCATTGAGCATGAATATCAGCACGTTTAGATAAAAAAATCAAAGTAGCTGTAATTTATATTCAGGATGAGATTCAGTGAAGTCTCTCATGCAGACAGGGTGCATATTAGCATCATAATAAAATCTGGCTTGGAGATGTGGTCGGGGGAGAGCTGACTGCTTGAATTGCTTTGAAGTTTCATTTTTATAAACTGCTCTTTTTTTGCCCCTGTGGCAGCAGAACTCTAATAGGATCAAAACCTCTCCTGCTCCATGTCGGATGGCCTGCAGCAAGGTGACTCCTGGTTATTAATCTCCAGTGCTTAGGTATACGATAGGTGGTTTACAGTGCGAATAGCAAAAACGAAAAGAGAAAAGGTCTGGGTCCAATTAATCATTGATCTGGAAGAATATAATAAGCACAAGGGAGAAGAGAGGTAGAGAGAGGATGTGCTCTAATGCTGCTGCTTGTTCTCAGCACAAACGTGAGAAGGACGGGGAGGCTGGCGGCAGCGGCTGAGAAGGGTCGCTGGCAGGGCTGGGCGCTGCTGCTGCTGCTTTTGTCCATTCTTGGAGCTGAATCCTTCCAAACTGACCAGCTAGTCATTGCGTGCCCTAAAAACCCCGGCATTCTTAATGTGCAGTACACAATGTAACAAAATAAACCTAGTTTAGAATAGGTTAGTTACTAATTTGTAAATGTCTGTTGCCTATCCATTCAATACAAATAAACCCCACAACTCCTACCAGCACTGTATCTCTAAATGTTCTGGTTGAAGTGTTAAAGTCTGCTTTATTTCTCTAATTTTAGATATGATCCTGACCTGCAGATTAAAAATTGGGGTGTATTTGTACACACAGATGGGGGACTAAAGTGAAAATTAAATTCTATGCACACCTACATAAAATCAAACTGTTCTGAAACATTCAACTTGGCATCGAGAGCGTCAGGTTTGCGGTTTGATACGGGTGCCTCTCCTTCCCCCAAAGCCATTGTACTCTGTCACCGTCAGAACTTCGTTTGAACTGATGCATTCCTACTGAATGGCTTGGTTTTGAATGAAGGATGCCTTTTCATTTTATCAAAGATGTTTCATCTATCTTTTCTGGCACAGCAGCTTCCCTAGCACGCGGCATGGTTCTTGGCAGAAAGCTGGTGGTGGGTCTCAGTACTGTGCAGGGCGCTGGTGCGGCAGGGGTTAGAAATCAGACAACTCTGATGGCCCAAGGGGCTGTACGCTCAAATATTTTGTCACTAGACCTTCTCTTGCCTTGGCTGAGCGTTCTGC